TGTGTCTGTGTCTAGGTTAGAAATGAGGTTTTACCAAATCTCAAGTACCCTGGTTTAAAAATGGCTTGCGGATTTGCATTTTAAGTCTTAATTTTGGACTAGTATTGTTAGATTGTTTATTTCAAACGTTACAAAATTTTACTTTAAGTCTAGTAATCTCGTTTTAAAATATCTCGTTTTGAGTTTATAAAGTAACCAATTAACAAGCGCAATTGTTTTAAGAATCCAATAAAGTTTCGCTAAATCGTTTACACGCATTTAAACTTAGCAAATCTTTTTTGTATTTATATTTCTTGCTTGTATTTTAAAGTTAGTTTTAAAGTTAAATTTATTAAAAAGTAGGTTCAAAAATAAAACTGCAATTTAAAGAAATCTTTTAATATCAAAGGTAAATACTTATGGTTATTATATCTAGAGTAATGTTTTAAACTGTTTATATTACATAAGTTTTGATTTGCAATTTCTGAAGTAGATTAAAATATAAAACTTTTCGATGGAACTAATGGTTTTACTCAATTCCTGAGATTCCTGAATTCATGGCCCCCAAATCTTTTCAAAAGAGTTTTATTTCTTTTTTTTTTTATCAAAGCAGGTTTTTAATAGTAAATTTTAATATTTTAGGTTTTTTTGATGCTTTGGCCCCCACTAAAAACTCACGCTGTTGCCCATTACTCTGAGTGTAATACTTTAATACAGTTTATATATATAATTAATCTACAAAAATGCCGAAAGTAAAGGTTGCAATTACAAGGATGAAAAGTGAAAAAAAAAATATTGTGCGGCCCATGTGAACTATCAACGACAGATCCAAGCACTTTTAGACAGGTTATTCAGTATTATTACTATCTTATTCATATAAATCCAAATGCAGATATCGTATTAGTGACTTAGCAAATTAGCAATAATATAAAATCAATTTGGGCTACAGTAAACCCAAGATTACCTCTTTTAACTGACAAATCTATTAATAGGAAAGTTAAAGATCTTCTCGTACTTGTAAAAGGTATTAATCGCAAGCACGGAAAAGCAAGCGCTAAAAGAAATCTTGATGCAAACTTGGACAAACTTTTTGATATTTCTGCGTGTTCCTGTTCATTAGATGTGTTTCCCTGTAGTGACAGAAAAGTTTCATGTAATAAAGAAAATTGCATCGAAGAACATATTGTATGCCTTTGTTCTCAAAGTAATAAAGTACCTCTGTAAGACAGAGCTTATCTTCGTGATCAGAGGAAAAAAAGTGGTCCAAAAGGCGCATATCAACTTTTTTCCGTCGATAGATTATCTGTCAAAAGGATTCAAAGCCTTGATAAAGAACGACAAAAAATATCTCATAAGCTAGTTAATGAAGACGAATCCCTCATAGCACAAGTAAACTTAATTGAAGAAACAAGTGGTTTGACCAATACGGAGGTAAATATTTTATAAATACATGAAATATTTGTTACAGATGAAACAGAAAGCGTTTTATTTTATTAACCCTTTTTAGGATGAAGGTGAATGGAAACCAGTAAATAATCCTATTGGAAAATACAACTTAGTTAAACTTTCAAAATTTGCAATGGAATTAGTCAGAAATGAGTGTTCGTCAAACGTAGGTGCAGCCCTAGCAAAGGCTTTACTACATGACATAAAACATCTCTTGAAAAATGACGTTGATATTAAAGATATTTTGATTGACAAATGCAAGTTAGATAGGGCCAAGTCAAAAGTAAAAATCGTTAGTGAAGAGGTGGACTCAGAACAAAAAAAACAGTTAATTTGTCTTGGGGTTGACAGCAAGCTCGATCAAATAACTAAAACAAGTATAATAATAAACTTACCTCAAGGAGAAGTACTAAAGAAATGCATTGAACCTGAACATCACCTCACATTTACTTATGAAGATGGAAAATCGAGTGGAAATTATTTGACTCATAGGACGATTCCTGTCACCGGTGCTACAGGTTTAGTTCTTGCTACCTAAACGTTTAGTGTTTTACAAGAACATAACAGTTTGGAAAGTATACAAGCTGTTCTTCTTGATAATACTGCTACCAATACTGGACCAATAAGTGGCTTAGTGGTAAAACTAGAAGAGTTTTTAAAAAGAAAACTTAATCTAATTGGATGCGCATTACATCAAAATGAACTTCTGTTAGGAGCTCTTTTTGTAAAACTTGATGGTGACACAACTGGGCCAAGAAGCTTTAGTGGTCTACTTGGCAAAAGATGTGCTGAAAATATTCAGGATAAAAATCAAGTTTTTTTTAATTGTATTAAAAACCCAATTGTAGATGGATATATTCCAGAAGAAATTCTAGTCGACCTTATTTGCGATCAAAGACTTTTATTTGAATATTGCAAAGGAATAGGCTTTGGTAAAGTTTCTGATAAATGGGCCGCCTATAAAATTGGACCGCTTAATCATGCAAGGTGGTTAACTCTAGCTATTCGCCTTCTCTGCTTGTATACTAGAGACAATCAACCAAGTGTTTCTTTAAAAAAACTCGTATGTTTTATTGTTCAGGTTTACGCTCCAGCGTGGTTCGATATAAAAAAATCTTCAAAATTTCACGAATCCCCGCGCCTTATTTTTTCTACTATCACTAGAATAAATAATCTCCCCTTTGATGATGTTAAATATATTGTTAAAAAAAACATTAAAAACAATGCATTGTGCCTAAAACCTGAAAATATTCTTTATGCCATGTTAAAAGATAATGACAGCAAGATACGAAACTTTGGTTTTCAAATCCTACTGGGTCTAAGGCAAAGGTATTTTTTTATGGTAAACTAAAATAAAGTTTTGAAAAAAAATGATACATTAAATGTGGTAATTGGATTTGATTTATATTTATAGAGTAAACAACGAAAGTTTGGAAGTAAATTTGAAAAAAATTCCAGAAATTATTATTCTTAAAACAATTCCAGAAATTATGGATTCTTAAACTTAGCAAATCTTTTTTGTATTTATATTTCTTGCTTGTATTTTAAAGTTAGTTTTAAAGTTAAATTAAAAAATTTATTAAAAAGTAGGTTCAAAAATAAAACTGCAATTTAAAGAAATCTTTTAATATCAAAGGTAAATACTTATGGTTATTATATCTAGAGTAATGTTTTAAACTGTTTATATTACATAAGTTTTGATTTGCAATTTCTGAAGTAGATTAAAATATAAAACTTTTCGATGGAACTAATGGTTTTACTCAATTCCTGAGATTCCTGAATTCATGGCCCCCAAATCTTTTCAAAAGAGTTTTATTTCTTTTTTTTTTTATCAAAGCAGGTTTTTAATAGTAAATTTTAATATTTTAGGTTTTTTTGATGCTTTGGCCCCCACTAAAAACTCACGCTGTTGCCCATTACTCTGAGTGTAATACTTTAATACAGTTTATATATATAATTAATCTATAAAAATGCCGAAAGTAAAGGTTGCAATTACAAGGATGAAAAGTGAAAAAAAAAATATTGTGGCGGCCCAATTGAACTATCAACGACAGATCCAAGCACTTTTAGACAGGTTATTCAGTATTATTACTATCTTATTCATATAAATCCAAATGCAGATAACGTATTAGTGACTTAGCAAATTAGCAATAATATAAAATCAATTTGGGCTACAGTAAACCCAAGATTACCTCTTATAACTGACAAATCTATTAATAGGAAAGTTAAAGATCTTCTCGTACTTGTAAAAGGTATTAATCGCAAGCACGGAAAAGCAAGCGCTAAAAGAAATCTTGATGCAAACTTGGACAAACTTTTTGATATTTCTGCGTGTTCCTGTTCATTAGATGTGTTTCCCTGTAGTGACAGAAAAGTTTCATGTAATAAAGAAAATTGCATCGAAGAACATATTGTATGCCTTTGTTCTCAAAGTAATAAAGTACCTCTGTAAGACAGAGCTTATCTTCGTGATCAGAGGGAAAAAAGTGGTCCAAAAGGCGCATATCAACTTTCTTCCGTCGATAGATTATCTGTCAAAAGGATTCAAAGCCTTGATAAAGAACGACAAAAAACATCTCATAAGCTAGTTAATGAAGACGAATCCCTCATAGCACAAGTAAACTTAATTGAAGAAACAAGTGGTTTGACCAATACGGAGGTAAATATTTTTGGTAGAAATAAATACATGAAATATTTGTAACAGATGAAACAGAAAGCGTTTTATTTTATTAACCCTTTTTAGGATGAAGGTGAATGGAAACCAGTAAATAATCCTATTGGAAAATACAACTTAGTTAAACTTTCAAAATTTGCAATGGAATTAGTCAGAAATGAGTGTTCGTCAAACGTAGGTGCAGCCCTAGCAAATGCTTTACTACATGACATAAAACATCTCTTGAAAAATGACGTTGATATTAAAGATATTTTGATTGACAAATGCAAGTTAGATAGGGCCAAGTCAAAAGTAAAAATCGTTAGTGAAGAGGTGGACTCAGAACAAAAAAAACAGTTAATTTGTCTTGGGGTTGACAGCAAGCTCGATCAAATAACTAAAACAAGTATAATAATAAACTTACCTCAAGGAGAAGTACTAAAGAAATGCATTGAACCTGAACATCACCTCACATTTACTTATGAAGATGGAAAATCGAGTGGAAATTATTTGACTCATAGGACGATTCCTGTCACCGGTGCTACAGGTTTAGTTCTTGCTACCTAAACGTTTAGTGTTTTACAAGAACATAACAGTTTGGAAAGTATACAAGCTGTTCTTCTTGATAATACTGCTACCAATACTGGACCAATAAGTGGCTTAGTGGTAAAACTAGAAGAGTTTTTAAAAAGAAAACTTAATCTAATTGGATGCGCATTACATCAAAATGAACTTCTGTTAGGAGCTCTTTTTGTAAAACTTGATGGTGACACAACTGGGCCAAGAAGCTTTAGTGGTCTACTTGGCAAAAGATGTGCTGAAAATATTCAGGATAAAAATCAAGTTTTTTTTAATTGTATTAAAAACCCAATTGTAGATGGATATATTCCAGAAGAAATTCTAGTCGACCTTATTTGCGATCAAAGACTTTTATTTGAATATTGCAAAGGAATAGGCTTTGGTAAAGTTTCTGATAAATGGGCCGCCTATAAAATTGGACCGCTTAATCATGCAAGGTGGTTAACTCTAGCTATTCGCCTTCTCTGCTTGTATACTAGAGACAATCAACCAAGTGTTTCTTTAAAAAAACTCGTATGTTTTATTGTTCAGGTTTACGCTCCAGCGTGGTTCGATATAAAAAAATCTTCAAAATTTCACGAATCCCCGCGCCTTATTTTTTCTACTATCACTAGAATAAATAATCTCCCCTTTGATGATGTTAAATATATTGTTAAAAAAAACATTAAAAACAATGCATTGTGCCTAAAACCTGAAAATATTCTTTATGCCATGTTAAAAGATAATGACAGCAAGATACGAAACTTTGGTTTTCAAATCCTACTGGGTCTAAGGCAAAGGTATTTTTTTATGGTAAACTAAAATAAAGTTTTGAAAAAAAATGATACATTAAATGTGGTAATTGGATTTGATTTATATTTATAGAGTAAACAACGAAAGTTTGGAAGTAAATTTGAAAAAAATTCCAGAAATTAATTTTAATGCTAATCATTGGTATGAGTTGGTAGACATCAGCATTACTAAATTTACGGAGCCCCCAACAACACAACATTTTTCAATTGAGCAAATCCAATATGCGATTGACAATAATGTTAAACCTGAAATCCCCGTCTTTCCATCTCACTCCCAGAGTGTTGAGCGAGCGGTAAAACTTGTGTCGGACGCATCCCAATATGTTTATGGATTCGAGAATCGACACAGCTGCATTTTAACTAAACTACTTATTAGGAAGATGCGTAAACCTTATATTTCAAAAGAGCATTATTCCCATTCTTATTATGATATTTTTTAATTGAAAATGTTTTCCTAAAATATATATATATCCATAGCCAAAATCTTTTAATTTGTGAAAATGTTTATTTGGATATTCTTATGTAAATATAAGAATAAAAGTTTCACTATTTAAATCTTCAAATAGTTAACAAGTTGATATAAATTTAGCTTAATTGTTATAAACTGTTATAAACTTAAATCATACAGCAAAGCAAATTGTATTGAAAAACATTTAAATATGAACTTAGTTAAAACGTCAAGTTTTGCATATAACGCTTTTTAAGGTGTTTTTTTACATAATCCAACAAATCTTAAAAATTAAATCCGCAAGCGATTCTTTATCCAAATTCTCTCAAATTTTGAGAGTAATCGTATTTTAACTGTCTACAACTACTGCATAGTACGCAATATGCGGAATTAAAATCGACCTACCCTAATATATATATATATATATATATATATATATTTATATATATATATATATATATATATATATATATATATATATATATATATATATATATATATATATATATATATATATATATATATATATATATATATATATATATATATATATATTATATATATATATATATATATATATATATATATATATATATATATAAATATATATATTTATATATATAATATTTATATATATATATATATATATATATAAATCTCTATTTTTTTGGTCTAAACAGTAATACCAATTAAACTATGATAAGTATATGCGCACGCAATAGCCCCGTGTCGTGCGCGGCTTGTAATTTTTCTTTTCGGTAGCGTAACTTCGGACCAAGTTAGTCAAAAAATCTTGTGACTTATCTGGCCCTTGTATTCGGCTGACGAGATTTTTAAAAGTTGTTAAAGTACTTTAATTTGTTTTATTTTTGTCGTTTGGTAGCGTAACTTCAGGCCATGTTAGTTGAATTAAATATATGATGATTGCCCACTGACTAATTTAAAAGAAGTCTTTTCTAACAATAATTTTTTGAATATTTTAAATAACTTTTAAATAATTTTTGATATGGCGTGCATTTACAATCTGTAAGGTATTTGCTCGAAAATAGATTTATTGAAAATAACTCAGAATATTTTTAAAACTCAAAATTTTTACTATTCAGAATTTTCAGTAAAGATTAATCTTCTTCATAATTCAGATTTTTAGTTGGTGATTTGGTTTGATTTTTCCCCATAAGTTCATAAGTCAATAAAGATTTGAACGCGACATTCCTCAGGAGTCAAGAACAACTATGGCGGTGAAGTAAGATTTACTTTATTTATCCCAATATTATGAAATATATTTTTTGCCTTGATCTAATTGGTTCAACTTTTTTACCAAACTGATTTATTGTAATAAATGATTAAATCCAATTTTATTTTCCATTGAGCTTATTGTAGAATTATTTTTACTAATTTTTAATTGCCCTTTTCACAGATCTGAATCAACTGACAATTGCTTATTTAGCTTATTTTCGATTTATCTGTGTCGTGATAATAATCTGGTAATGGATTTAAGAATACAGACAGCAATTGATTTATATTTAAATGCCTCTTTTTACAGTAACCATCCATTGTTTGTAAGCTTGTGCTCAAAGTAACTAAATGAGTTTTCATCAATTGATAATTTGTTAGCAGTGTCTGTATCCACACATTTTATAGACTCAGGAAAATTAAAAGATGACCTTGTTAAGGAAGAAACATTTCATATGTGTAAAGAATTTTTATGGTCTCGGTTTCTTTGTGTTTATGCTCTTTCAACTGTGTGTTCTACAAGAGTTCAGTGTTACTGTAGAACAATTAGTTCTATCCTAAATTATAAAATTACGTTTAATCCTAATATTAAACCTTTTATTCTATGTTCATCATCAGATATTGTTAATTTGTTGCTTTATCACTATGAGCCTCTCCTTTTCATTCCAGATAAGTTAAAATGATAGTTAAATATTAAGATAGTTAAAATGTGAAATCTGTAAAAAAGTTAATTTTACCAATCAATCAACAATTCATATGTTTGCAGAAAAATATGATATGAGGTATCATCTATATCTACCATTAATGATAAAACTGTTTCATGTACTCTTGTCAACAAAAAGTATATGTCTGCCTCTCATAAAAATATTGTTTGCAATTCTTTTATTGATTAAAAATTGTTTTATACAAATAATACATTATCTTTAAATGAAAACAGTTCTAAAACTAAAGACAAAAGCATCTGATAGACTGAAAATTTGGGAGCAGAGTCTCGCTAAAAGAAATTGCCAAGTAAACCCTGTAGTGAATATGATATTGCATGTTTTCATTTAAAGGCTTCTACTTTGAAAGATTTACAAATATAAAAGTTGATTCAAAATGTTTTTTTTTTTCCTGATGAAACTTCATTTCCAAAAACAAATGGGTAATTTTTCAAGCTTTTATCGTTAAAACAATTTTCATGGCTTAGATATTCATCTTCTGAAGATGGAGCATTTTGTTTGAGTTGCGTTTTATTTAGATATAAATACCTTTCAAAAGCTTTGAGATTGAAAAACTTGTATTTCTCAGCCATTCAAATACATAACCAATAAGAGTTATAACTAATAATGTTGTAATTACAATATTATGAGTTAAAACTTTATTACGTTCTATTGGGAAAAATTATAGTCAATTTTCCTTCCTACAAGCAAATTATGATTTGTTTATTAATAATATAAGTTGTTAATAAGCAAATAATAATTTGTTTATTATAAGTATAATAAGCAAATTATAATATGCTTATTAACATCTTAATTTGTGTCCCTTTTGGAAACGTTAGTGAATTTTGTCCCTCCCCTCTCTTAAAAAAGAAAAGCACTGCTGGGTGCTGGGTGTTGTTTAATTTCAGATTTAAATAAAAAAATTCTCATTTCTTTTTTTTAAAGGTCATCGATATAAAAGACGTCTTTTTTTAAGAAAAACGACCTCTTTTTAAAGACGCCTTTTTAAAAGACGTCTTTTCCACGTCTTTATTTAGACTAACTATAAAAGGCATAACAAGTCATAAAAAAGTTGTCTTTTATTCGTCTTTTCCCACTGGGTTAGGGGCCATCCATAAATGTATCATTTAATATAAGTCGGAGGGGTAAGTAAAAAGCTTGACAATGGGGAGGGGGGTGTTCAGACCAATTGATGCCAATATAAGAAAAAAGTTATTTATATTTATACGAACAAACTTTGAAGGTATTTACATCTACAATATCGTATAGAAATGGCATATTTTCTTTATGGGGAATACGATGTAAATTTCCCAGAGACATGAAATTAATTAAAAGTTTATCAACGTTTTATTATTGTATTACCTTTTGATTGAAAATTTAATTGTTTACAAAAATAAACGATTTGTATATAATTATAATAATTGTTATTCAATCGAATTATAAAATATACTTCAAAGCAAACACATAAAGACATTTGTCATTTTTTAAAATACAATTGTCATTATTATCAAAGATCACTTCAAGAACTCATGGGAAGTTAATGAGTATATTATAGATATAGAATAAAATTTTGATTAGTTGGTTTATTAATTAATGAGTTATCAAATGTTCCATAAAATAGCTTGCTGAGATCTACTACTATATAAATGTATTTAAAAAATCATTTGTATTGACACACATTTTTAATGTTACTTTAGAGATGATGGTGGGTACAAAAAATGACATCATATAAGGGGGCTTGGCCAAAACTTGACAGAACATAAATACCAGAAATTTATTTAACTTGTTATTATCAAATAACGCTCGCCTGAGTTTTTCTTTTTTTGAAAAATTATTGACAGCAAATCTTTGAGCAAATCCCTTTGACATAGAAAAAAACTTTAATTTTTATTATAACTATCAAAATAAAATTATTTAAAATAACAAACTTTTGTAGAACACTTTTTAACGTTCTAATTGAAATATTTTAATTTGAAAAATTTGAATGTTTCAACTAGGATTTTAATGAAATGTTAGAATGAAAATTAGTTTTCGATTGAAAAGTATCTAAAATTTAGTAAAATTTAACAAAATGTCATTATTAAATATATAATATTCAACATAAATTTTAAAATAGTACGAAATGTATTTACCATATAGTATATTGCATAACTAATAATTCTCAATAAAATGCATCCAAAAACTTAAGCAACTGAGAATAAAAAAATGTTAAATAGAAAAAACAAACAAAATTTATTCAAAACACACAATCATGACATAATGGGAAAAATTTCTTTTTCTACCCTTAAAACTAATAACTTTGTGTTTGAGTTCAGATTTTTGAACAGTTTTTCTTTTTACAGAAGCATTTTTGGCACAGATAATATTTTGTTATAAATTTAATTGCACGGTACAACAAAAAAGTCATTAAAAAAGGCGACATGGAATTATTTACTCCTCAGCAAAATGAATCAGGTTATAAACATTATATGTTGTAAATGTTGGACCATAATAATCCACAGACTTAGATACAAACCAATTTAACAGCATTACTGCATAGCCAATGGAAATAGAACAAGTATTATTGTCATCTAACACATAAATAGCAATACTAAGACAAAGGAAATGTATATAAAGATCGTGTTTTAATACATTATTCAATACATAGGTACCAGTTTACATAAGAAATAAACGAAACTCTGTAGCTTTCCATCTTTTAAACTATACTAGTGATCTAGCCTGTCTGACAAAATCAGATGGCATTCAAACAGATCAGATGGCATTCGAACAGATCAGATGGCATTCGAACAACCCCAAGACAAACTAAATGCATATAGTCTAAAACAAAGGTAGAAACACAAGGTAAATTAAAATCAATAAAAGGACTTCTAGATACTTGATGATCTTTATAATACATTTTAGAAAATTGTTCGTCTGAACGAAGAACATAATTAACCTGATTATAAAAAACTCTTCTTTGCCATTCACCCTTGTCACTGTATTGTTAACAGCCATGGTAAGCATTGTGTGGCTTTATAAATTTAATAAAATGCAAGTGCCGGAGCATCACATGTCCAAAACTTTAAACTGACATTAAA